CCTTTCAGGTGTGACGTTGAAGTCGAACTCCTAACTCTGGTACACGTTAAGACGAATCTGGTTGCTTCTTTTGGTTCCGAAACTACGGCTACACAAGAGAACAAATAAGTGAGGAAATTCTTAGGGGTTCCCGGCACAATGCTCGGGAAAGCACTCATTCTCAAAGAGAAAGGTGAAGATACGACTGTTCTCAATGAGAGGGAAGAGATTACAGGATTTGAGAATCTAGAAAACTTTAGACTTCTCCAAAAGGAGAAGCCAATAATAGCATGTAAGATTTTTGCACATCTATTTTTTTGGAACAATAAATCTGGGCCAAGGATAATGATACCCGAATTGGGCTTTGCTAGGCCCATTGACATTTCACAAAAGCCCATCTCCAATCTCAAATCATCACGGTGGACGATTGAGTGGAGCTGGTGCACGAGCTCGCGCCTATACTTTTCCGACGAGCCAGGCGGTGATGGGTCTTTGCCGAACAGTAAACTCCGGTTATAACCAGAGAGCAACAATGATACACAGGTTCTCGGCGGTGGTTGCGGTGGGGAGGGGGGGAACCACCGAGATAAGAGGTTAAAAATCTTCGAGAGAACTTCGGAAAGGCCTCGGTCTGGTGCCGCACAGACTTCGGGAGACTTTTGGAGTGACTCGCCGGTGGTACTTCCTGTCCTCGATGGATGAAATCGCCGGTGCAGAGGCTAGATTCGGCGATATCGGGAGAAGAAGAAGACTCGATTGAGTCTTGAGGAGAATGCGACTTTGAGTTTCGGCCATCGGTTTCAAATCTATACACGGTGGAGGAGGATCTAGAGGCACCGGTGGATCCGGAGGGTTCGAGGTTGCCGGACTAATCACCGCCTGGAAGTTAGAGAGACTCGTGCCTCGCCGTGTTAGAGCCAGCGACGGGAGTGACCTCGTGGTTAAGCACGGTGAAGCAGGGAAGCAAGCCATATGGGACAGAGTTGGGGGGAACAATTTCGTCGGTAAGCAAATCTACCGACAAAACAGTGAGGGCTATCTTTCAGGCGGAGACGCGGTGAGACGAGCGGCGGAGGAACCTCATCTTTGTCGGAGAAGATGATCGGCGGCTGCCTCGGTTGTTGAACTTGAGAGAGAAGTTCGCCCTAATATCCGTACGACGCATGTTGCTTTTCGCGATTGTAGTATCTAATGCTTTCTATTTTTTTGT